GAAGTTGACAGCCGTCCCTTTCAGCAAGGAGCACCGCGCTTAACGCATGATCAGAGACGGCCAGGTACATGTAGAGATTTTCTTTGGGCAAAGGGCTGACCAGCCTTGGCAAGGAATGCAAGTGAACCTTTAATTTCTGGAAGGCGGCCTCAGCATCCGGCCCCCATTCAAACCTTGCCTTTTTCTTAATTGCCTGGAAAAAGTATAGGCATTTGTCGCCTGATCGGCTTAGAAATCTTCCCAAGGCCGCCAGACAACCTGTTAACTTCTGAACCTCTCGGACGGTACGAGGCGACTGCATGTCAATGACCGCCTGTACCTTCTCAGGGTTCGCCTCTATTCCTCTCTGGTTGATAAGGAATCCGAGAAATTTCCCAGACTCAACTCCAAATACACATTTCTTGGGATTGAGCATGACATGGTGCCGCCTGAGTGTGGCGAAAGTTTCTCGGAGGTCCGTCAGGTGATCTTTCTGAAGTTTAGTCTTAACAATCATATCATCAATGTATGCCTCGACGTTTCTCCCAATCTGATCAAAGAACACTGTGTTTATCATTCGTTGGAATGTAGCCGGGGCATTCTTAAGACCAAACGGCATGACCGTATAACAGTATAATCCCTGATCAGTGACGAAGGCCGTCTTCTCCTGATCTTTCTTCCACAAAGGAATTTGATGAAAACCAGAATAGGCGTCCATAAAACTCATCAAGGCATGGCCGGCTGTTGAGTCGACCAGGTTATCAATTTTGGGCAGAGGGTAACTGTCTTTGGGGCACGCCTTGTTCAAGTCTGTGTAGTCTACACACATTCGCTAGGTGCCATTCGGCTTTTTAACAAGTACCACATTTGCAACCCAATCTGGGAAGTAACATTGCCGAATGAACCCTGCATCAAGTAATTTTTTGACTTCGGCGGCGGCCGCCTGAGCTCTTTCTTCACCATGGTTCCGCTTCTTTTGCCGTACCGGCTTCTTTTTCGGATCCACAGCGAGTTTGTGTACTGCCAGATCAGGATTAATGCCTGGCATTTCATGGACTTCAAATGCAAAGATGTCCTTGTATTCTTTCAACAGGTTGTGAAAGTCATCACCAAGGTTTCTCAGAGCAGTCGTCCCAACTTTGACTGTTCGGTCAGGGCGGGAGTCGTCTAATATCAGGTCCGTATGCTCACCAGCCGGCTGAGGGCGGAACTCATCCGGCCGGTCCTCTGCCAATGATTGCTATTTTCTTGCCTTTCTGGCGGACTCTGTCTGGGACGCCTTTCTTTTTCTGTCGCCTGTTTCTTGAACAGGCGCACTTTCCTTGACATTGTCAAGGTCTGTTTTTTCTCCACTTGACCCAGTGGCCTTAGCAGTGGGTTTGACATCCGAGAGATAGCACTCTCGGGCCATCCTCTGATCTCCCCTTAGGGAGCCGACTGTTCCATTGTCCCTTTCAAACTTAAGCAGCATAAGTGACGGGATTATAACAGCCTTGGCACTATTCAGGGTTGGGCGACCCAGAATCATGTTGTAGGCAGAGAGTTCCTCTACAACTAGGAATCGGACTACCATGTGTCGTCCTTCCCCTTTTTCGCCCAGGCGGACGGGTAGATCAACTCGTCCCAGTGGGTGGACGACTCCTCCTCCAAACCCTATTAAAGGGTGGGAGGCCGGATGTATGCAGTCCGTCTGATATTTCAGTTTTGACAGACATTTGCTGCTGATGAGATCTGAAGAGCTCCCAGTATCTATGAGGATTCGACCAACTCTCTGGTTGGCCACTTTACATTCAATAACGAGAGGGTCGTCATGCGGCCCCCTTATTCCTCCTAGATCCTCTTCAGTGATGACAATCTCAGGAAATGTATATTTGGACGGTCGTTCTTGGTGAACGGAATTTACATCTAACCGCCTTATATTATCTTTGTTGCCCCTAATAGTGGGGCCGCCTCCTGAGAAGCCGCCTGCAATGGTGTAGACGACTGCATCATCTGTATCGGAACTGTCGGCCTGTTGATTCTTTTTGGCCGACTGCTTTTTTGAGGAAGTATTCCCCGTAGATTTCTTGACATAAGTGTCAAGATCACCTTGATCAGCCAAGCGGTCTAGGTACCGCATGAGACTAATGCAGTCGTTGGTGTGATGACCAATGTCATCATGATAAGCACAGATTTTGTCTTGGTTCCGGTTGCTCGCAGAACCCTTCATGGGGAGCGGTTTCTCAATTGAGAGCCGTCCCTTTATTTCTTTTAGGATAAACTGGTTATCCTTGTTAAACACATACTTTGGGGAGTATGGTTTGAATTCCTTTTTCTTCTTGGCCGGCTGTTTAGAGGAATCAGCCGCCCAGACCCCTTTTCTTTTTTCATCTTTGTTGGACGACTGTTTCTGTCGTCCTTCTCTATTGTCGAACCTCTTCCCGTCCGACTGTTTCATTGTACACAGATCAGTCGCCTGTATATAGGCTTCTGCTTCAATCAAGGCCTCTTGAAGAGTCGCCACCCTTTTTCGAACTAAATCAAATTTGAAGGTAGACCCGTCTTTGAGACCTCTAAAAAAGTCAGTATAAGCTACCTCATCCGGTAACCCTTGAATCTGTATTCTCATCAGGTTGAACCGCCTGATGTAGGAACGAAGCCCCTCCTTTTCACCCTGCTGAATTGTTCCCAAATCAAGGGTCGTTTTCTTCGCAGGGATGTTCATTGCAAAGTTGGAGGCAAATAAGTAAGCAAGCGTCCTGAAACTGTTTACACAACCAGTCGGCAGGTTGCCGAACCATTGCTGTGCAATTCCCTTGAGAGTTGCTGGGAAACACTTGCACCAAGTGGGATCATCCAACCCTTGAAGGTACATCAGGTTGGTGAATGCCATCAGATGGTCTTCCGGGTTAGTAGTGCCATCATAGGCGCCTACTAAAACATTTTTTACTTTGGCCGGCTGAGCGGCTTCAGTAATTTCCTTGGAGAAGGCCGACGGCTGTTCACCAAGTCTAAGCAGCCGTAGCTGCCAGTCCATAGGTTGGACGTTTTTTGCTGCAGGTCCACCAAATGGAGGTGGCTGCATAAAATATTGTTGTTGCGGCACAAATGGCAAATTTGGTACCGCCTGCGCACTATGAAAGCCAGACTGTCGGGAGGTGCCGCCTGACTGACTCTCATGGTACGACTGAGTTGGCCTCATCGAGGCATTTCGCAAACTGTCCTGAAAATTTGAAGTAGAAGCCGACTCTGATAATCGGTCACTCTTCTTCTGCTCTAGCAGGTGCCGAGCATCTGTGAACGTTTGCTTTGACCCGTCCGCCTGAATATGACGAACCGGTTTCCTATTTCCCGTAGGATAACGGAGTTTTGTGAAATCAAGAGCAGACGGCTCCCGCTTCTTAGATTTAGGATGGGGAGTCGCCTCTCGCCCTTGAACTGGCTTCCTCTTCAGTGAAGTGGAAGGTTTTTTGGCCGCCTGCTCTTTGACTGAAGCAGGCGGTTTTTTGTTGATCAACTCTTGGATCTCTCCCTTGAATCCCCTCATGAAGGTCATGAGTTCGTTCCTTGTGATGGGAGCAGACCCATCAGTCGGCTGTTGCCGAGCAAGCGGTGCGCCTGCTGGCTCGCTTCCTGTTTGAAGATACTCCCGTTCCCTTATTTCAGTATGACGGGTACGGCGGGCCCTTAGGGTCCCGTCTGGAGCTGTATGAGTTTCAACTTCAAATTCACTTTCGGTATCATGGTCCGACTGAACTTGAGGGTCGTCTAGGGGACGCCTCTCTTCTGGGGTCGGTACAGACTTGGATGCCATCTCTGAAGTACTCTCCCCACAGACGGCGCCAAATGTTTTGGGGTTTTCTGATGTCCTACGGGAGAGCTACAATTCCGAGACTGGAACCGGACGCCTGTACCTGCAAAATAACGGAGACTCCTGAGAGCTCCGCCTCCAACGGTCAAGTTAGTACCTGATTAAGGAGTAATTAATACAGAAATTAAAGTAATAAGGTCTCTCTAGGTGAGAGTATTTAATGTAGGTAATCTGCTTTGCTAGCGAGATCAGCCGGTTATTAGTGTGTTCCGTAATGTTTCTCCTCCGTTCCGTTAATTATTCGGTCCCTTGATTAATGAGGATTAATCGAGTATTTATAGCCTTGGGAAGCGTGCAACTCTCTAGGTTTAAGGTAAACCTAGGGCCGATCGGGCTTCTAGACTGAAATGGGCCTTGATGGCCGGTTGTCCCATTTGGCATGGGTGGACACGTGGCGTGTCTTAAGTGGTCCGTGGAGGACGCGTGGCGGAACCTGGTTGGTCCACTTGTCAAACGGCGCTTGGTGGATAAAAATCCCCTAATCAATAGGTAGTGGGGATAAGTTTATGAGAGAGAAGAGGGTAAGGGGTTTTGTGGGACCATTAGTTAGTAGAATGTTATAAAAAAATAAAAAGAATATTATTAAAAAAAAGAGAAGTTACTAAAAAAAGAAACGTTTTATTTATTTAAACACGATCGAAAAAGAAAAACATTTCATTTATTTAAATATTGAGGAGTAACTGTTAGGAGTAATAAAGTTAGGGGATATTTTAGTTATTAGGGCAAGTCATGCATTATGCATATTGCTAGCTATAGATAATCATAAAATAATGTACTATGTACTTTGTATATAATAATTAATGGTATGTAATATATGGAATGATTATGACGACAAAATCATATACGTTTAATACTCCAACTTTTCTTTTGACAAATGCTTGACGATTGTCTAATATAGTTAAGTTAGCAATTTGACATGATGACATCTCATGCCCAACGTTACTAGGCTGTTGTTACCTCAAAAACACAAAAGTCAAATTTTAGATTTCTAGCAAAAAAATTTCTTAGAAAATGGCATTAAATTTGACCAAAATTCATTCCTCTCCTTATCAACTTAATCTATTAATCATAATTAAAGAACCAATATGGGTTGGTAACCACTACAATTTTTATAATGATTAGATCATGGTAAGTGAATTAAACTAGCTATGCTAATTCAACGTATTGAGATATGATGAGCTTCACGTTCTATTCCTGCATAATGTTGTTGGCTTCCACGTTTTATGATACATTCATAATCACTTATAACATTTAAAATTAAACACATAAAATAAAGATTAATGATAAACCTAGCTACTACTATGCATTAAACGTTATATTGCAAAACTCAAATATTAGTCCTTAATTTGGAAGAGAAAAAAAAAAAAAGAAAATAAAAGAGATGGCAACTCTCAAGGTTTATGCTGATAGGAGGTCCCAACCAACTCGAGCTATTATACTTTTCTGCAAGTAATAATAAAACTTGTTTTAATGAATAACTGATGTGATTTAGTTCGTTTGTTTAAGCTTATGTCAAAAAAAAAAATCTTAAGCTGGTATTTGACTTAAAGTTTGTTAAATGCTTCCACTAATTGGAATTATTAATTTGTAATTATGGTTAACGATATCGAGTTTGAAGAAGTGGAAACAAGGCTCTTTAGCGATGATCTCCAAACTCCAGAATATCAAGGTGCTTAATTTTTCTAATTACTTGTCTTTAATTTGGTTTCCCTAAGCTAAATTTTCTTTCCGTGTATACTTGTACGTATGACTTATGAGTTATGACATTTGTGCAAACCTCTAAACCAAACACAAAATAGTTGATTTACTAAAATTTATGACCCAACTTTCAGCAATAAATCCTATGAAGAAAGTCCCAGCAATAGCTCATGGAGATTTTACACTCTTTGAGAGGTAATTTAGCTCATCATCATAGTTGTTTTTTTTTTTTTTAAATAATTAGCTTTGAAATTTTTTATAATGCAACTTATTATAGAAGTTGTAGCTAATCAATTGTTTTTTTTGTCACTCTTGCTCGATCGCAGCCATGCCATCCTCATGTACCTTGCTTGCTCTTACCATGTACCTGATCACTGGTAAGCTCATTAATTTCTCTCCCGATTCAAATTTCATCAATTTTGACCTGTTTTTTTTAATACCAATATATGTAATATTCATTTCAGTTTTGTATTTTAATAATACTTCCGTATAAACTATTCATTATTCGTAAAATTAATGACTAAAAACATTTGTCTTAAAATCAAATAATGGAACAATTAAATCGTATGGGGAGCCTATTGATGATGTTGCCTTTTGAAATACGGAATATAAGCTAGCTAGGTAATGATATACCCTAAACCTTTTAGACAAACACTTGGTAATGATAATGGTTTTAATAAATCCGTTTCCAATCCAAAAAACACTATTACCAAACATGCTCGCTCTAAACTTTTAAAATTTGGTCATGTAGGTATCCAGCTGATCTTTGCAAGAGGGCTAAGCTTCAATCCTTGTTGGATTGGCATCACTCCAACTTGCGCTATGGTTCAAGTAATATACAACATGTACACTAGAATTGCCATTTTCTTTTACTAATGAGTAGTATTAAGTAATGTTACAAGTATTGATTTCTCAAAATTAAAACTATTTAGGCCCCGTTCACTTCACCTTATTTTTGCTGAACTGAAATTATTTTTACTGAAACAAAACTATATTTGCTGAACTTTATTTTTTACCGAACTTAAATTAATTTTACTGAACTGAAATTATTTTTATTGATTTTCTATTATAATTCTTCTTTAAGTAAACTGAATTTTACTAAACTGAACTTATTTTTACTGAACTGAAATTATTTTTATTGAACTGAAATTAATTTTAATAAACTGAACTTATTTTTACTGAACTGAAATTTTTTTTACTTAATATTATTTTTCTAAGGAGAAGTGATCAGGGCCTTAACAAGCACATTTTCTAACGCGTAACTTTAATTAATAATCAATATTTTTTACCTTGCTAATATAATTTTGTGGTGTATGCAGTGGGATACTTGGTTAACACAATATTAGCACAATTTTTGGGAAAATTGCCAAACCATGATTGTGCAGCTGATTGTGAAAAAAAATTGGTTGAATCATTTTCCACAATTGAGACAGTATGGCTTAAGGACGATGCCAAGTTCTTGCTAGGCAACGATCAACCCTCCATTGCTGATCTTTCCTTGGCTTCAGAGATAATGCAACTTTATATAATTAAGCAAACTTTGTTAAATTCCTCTCATTGATCAATATTATGCCTCCATATTCATTGTTAATCAAACATGCAATTAAGTTAAAATCAAAGTAAATGTGTAAAGTAGCGCGATTTTAATGGTTTTCTACGACTAACACGTTGTTCTTGTACGTATAGATGTTGCCTGATGAAGAAAGGAATAGGTTGATAGGCCCTTACAAGAAAGTTCAGCAATGGGTTGAGGATGTGAAAGAGGCAACTAACCCTCATTTTGATGAAGTTCACAAGTATTTATTTGATGTTATTGCCACTTTGAAGCAAAAGGCTTAATTTTCAAAAGCATGTCCTATTATTGTGTTAATTTTGTTCACAATTTGATTGATTAAGGAGGTTTTCAGCCTTAATACGTCTCATATTTTTTTTTTTTTTTTTTTTTTTTTTTTTTTTAAATTTCGAGTTTGAGTTGTTCACTTGTTGTATTCTTGCATTTGGAAGTTTCTAGTCGCGTCATGCACTACTAGTAGTGTAATGCAATTATTAAATGATATTTCCTTCGTTCTTTATTACTTGACCCGCTTTGATTTTTACATTATTCACCACCCCTCCTTGACTGTCTTTTGTGAATAATAGGTAAGGAAAAATATATTTATGTATGATCTTTTTGGATTCGTCTCAATAATAACTATCATAATATATAACTTTTATAATTTTTACTTATGGAGAAATTTAAGTTACCGGTCGTTAAAATTTTACATTGACAAGCGTGATAAAAGAAACAGGTCAAGTAAAAAAGAATAGTGGAAGTATGGGGTATTGACTACCGAGTATTTTTTAATTTTAATTTTTAAATTTCTTTCATTTTTAAGTATCTTTATATTTTCTGGCTAAAATGAGTTCATATAATAATTATGGGCATTCCTTAAGCGGTTAAGCCTTACTCCGTATTAAGCCCACTCACACATACTACGGGCATGTTTACATTTACTAAACTGAGCTGAAGTGAACTGAACTAAACTAAACTGAACTGAAGGAACTAAACTAAAATTAAGCTGAAGTAAACAGGTCCTATGTATCGTGTCAAAATTTTTAAAAGTTCTTTTTGAAAAAGAAAGATAAGAAAAGAAAAAAAAACCTATAATTTGAGACCGACACATCTTGTAATTTATAATGCTATTTTATGCACAAGGACAGGGGTGATAATCGAACCCAAGATCTCTTTGAGTCGAAAGGGAAGCTCTAACCACTTGAGCTATTTCTCACTCGCGACTCGTATGGATATATTAATTTAACATGACTCAACTTTAAAAATTAACTTAACCTTATCAGATTCGATCCGAACATTCGAATTGACAACACTAATCACAAATCGGCTTTATTAGTGTCATTTTAAGCCACAACTACTCAAGCTCCTTCCGACCCTACCTCTTTTAACAAAGAGAAACGAATAAAGTAAATTAGACAAAAGATGTTAATTGTGTCCTACAACTTTATCTATAATTATATGGTCTTGTATTCACTCAAATAATGAGTACTGCCAAAACAAGAAAGAGTTTGAGAGAAAGCGAGAGAAATGGCAACAGAATTGCTCAAGATTTACGGTGATCGCAAGTCTCAACCCACCCGTGCTATCTTGATCTTTTGCAAGTATTTTACTCTTTCCTTTATTCCCTTCATTTTAAAAAAAAAAAAATTATTTTGTTTTATCCATAAGATTGATCATTGAAAAACATCATACAATTTTGATCATCGAAAATGTTATACAATTATCGTTTTAAAGATGCTTGGCATAATTTGGATTTACATGTATAATTCTTAATTATTATACACCAATTAATATTTGTAATTTAGGGCTAATGGGATCCAATTTGAGGAGGTAAAAATAAGACTCTTCACTTCTGATGTTCAAACCCCAGAGTATCAAGGTATAGTATGCTACCCATTTTTCTAAGCAATAATATTTCGTTTAACAATTAATTAGTACTCGTACGAGTTTTGGCTTTTGTTTCTTTGATTAGAAGATATAAATTTAATTAATTTTGTCAAATCAGAAATTTTATGTTTCATTCGCAAGGTAAAATTAATGTAGTACTCAATTTAGTAGATGATTGATAGAGATATACGAGTGTTTTTTTAACAGTAAGGGAAAACCTAATTAGACCTTAATACTTGTGGTTTTTTTGGTGAACGATTTGAGGCCTGGCACTTAATTGGGGGGGGGGGGGGGGAGGGTAGAAGGGAAGGGTAAAAGAAGAATTCCTACCCTCAAGTACCCGGCCTAGATGCTTGATATAGGCCAAGATGCCTACCAATCAACCACATTATATTGAATTGGCTTGCGAATTTGCGATGCATTGTGATTATTACCCCTTTCTTTCTTTCTTCTCTAATACAGTAGTTATTTTGTGGTTTAATCTTTCAGCAATTCATCCATTGAAGAAAGTCCCAGCAATAGCTGATGGAGATTTTACTCTCTTTGAAAGGTAATCCTATAGAGTACATAAAATAATTTGTTAAAATTACTTATGTTACAAACTACTAACAATCATGGAATAAAGCTTTTAATTATGCATCTATTTAATACAATTTAAAAAAATTATCAATTAGCATTTTTTGATTCTTATGTTTTACTCTGCTTGCAGCCATGCCATACTCACGTACCTTGCTTGTTGGTATCAAGTGCCTGATCATTGGTGAGCTTATTATGTTTTTCCTCGCTAGTCAAATTAGGAAACTAATTTTGATACACCTTATACTCCGTATTGATTTTGGCACATCCTTTGAGAGGCAATCATAGAAAATTGTGCTCTCGTAATTAGTGTGCCAAAATCAAATTTATACGTGTCAAAAATTGAATCATTCACGCCTATTTCTTTTTGAAATCCAATCTAGGCCAGGGCAAGTATTCATGTTTCAATTGAATTGAAAATTGCAGGTATCCTGCTGATCTACGGAAGAGAGCTAAGGTTCAATCCGTGTTGGATTGGCACCAGACAACTTTACGTTATGGTTCAAGTAATACTATCTCTCTATAACCCTTCTCAACTTAAAGTCTTAGACTATGTTCACTTTACCTGACCTAATTTGCCATGATTTGAATTTTTCTAATTTGATTTAATTTACCTGATTTGGCCTGGTATAAATTTGATTTTTATTTATTTATTTATTTTTATTTTTTTATTTATTTGATCTAGTCATTTATGATCATATACAAGAAAGAGTACTTTATAGTTTAATTATGCTGTATTATTTTGGTTTTTACTAATTCTCGTATAATTTGTTCTTGGATGAGCGCAGCAAGATACCTGATAAACACAGTATTAGCTCCAACATTTGGTAAAACGCCAAATCCTCAAGTAGCAGCCGAATATGAACAGATTTTGGTTCAATCTCTTTCAACCGTTGAGACTTTGTGGCTTAAAGGCGACGCCAAGTTCCTCCTAGGCAACGATCAACCTTCTGTTGCCGATCTTGCTCTAGTTTGCGAAATCATGCAACTTCATGTAAGCCATCATTTTTGGGTGCATATATAGAGTGTGACTCACAAAAGGCTAACGTATCTATCTAGACGAGACTTGGTTTTAGGTCTGTAGAGATCTAGTAAATATGCTTAAATAAATAGCCTATAAATAAGAATGTACAAGTATTCAATTAGATTGATCAACAAGTGTTTTAAACTTTTAAGTTTTAATGATCAGATATGTAAATATGTTTATCGATTATAGTACATACCAATAATTCAATGAGGCAATGATACTTATGATAGAATGATAATGATACCAACCGTACATTCGTACGATATGATATACATAATAATTAATCTATAATTACATATACATTAACAATATCGTATTGAATCAATTTCCATTTCCAAACATTGCATTTCTTATAAATTATAACTTACACGAGATTAAATGGATTCGTTATTTAGTTTGTTACTTTATTTAGATTACTAACTCAAACAACTTAATAAGTTAAATGGACGAAATCACGAAATCACTAATTAAAGTGGTGATGAAATCATTATGCAATACTAATGTACGAATAGTCAAATATACAACGGTTAGATTGAATGCCCATGAAAAACAATGGTTAGATTTTCATTACTTTATTAGTTATTACTTATAAAGTTATTATTAGTTTATTATATATACTGATATACAGTCACAGACTCACAGATATATATAATATACATATAGAGATGTCAGATATTGATGTGCATTAACTCATTAAGTCATTAACTATGTCGTATTGAATCAATTTCAATTTTGAAACATTTGCGTTTCTTACAATTTATAACTTATAAGTAATAAACTAATAATAATAATAATAATAATAATAATAATAATAGTAATAATAATAATAATTATAATAATATTATAATAATACTATAATAGTAGTACTGTAGTAGTAAACTAGTAATAATAATAATATTAACAAATAATTATACTAACAATAATAATAATAATAATAATCTTTCAAAATAATAATAATAATAAATAATTAAAAAAAACGGTCAAAAAGACCTAGAAAAGCACAAAGAAAAATCTAGACCGTTAGATCTAGATAAAAATTCTGGAATCTACAAAAAAAAAAAAAAAAAAATGAACGGTTAGATGTTGAGAATCCTTGAGATTGAATATGGACGGTTGATCAAATGAACAAGTAAAACCTAAACCTAGAATCTCAAGCCCACTCTATCAGCCATTCAGCCGTTTTACTCACTCTCAGTTTCTCTCTCTAACTTCTCAGTTTCTCAGTTCTCATCTCACTCATTCGTTTCTGAAATTCTCAAGAATCTCAAGCTCAACTTCTCAACTTTTAAAAATCCTAATTAGGGTTTTAGTTTTCGTTTCATTTGTGTTTTGGATCTACATTTCTGATTTCTCGCTTTACATTCTCGTTTTTTTGTTTTTTCAAATCTTCCTCTCCTTCAATTTGAAGGCTTCAAGCCGTCAAAAGTTCAAAACTCAAGGTAATTTTTTGTTAATTTTTGTTGTTTTCGTTTTGATTTTTTTCGTTTTTGTTTCGGTTTGTTTATTTAGGGTTTTTGTTTTCGTTTCATTTTTGTTTTGGATCTAAGTTCTAATTTCTGACTTTTTCATTGTCGTTTTTTTGTTTTTGTCTTCCTCTCCTTCAAGCCGTCAAACCTCAAGGTAATTTTTTGTTAATTTTTGTTGTTTTCGTTTTGATTTTTTTCGTTTTCGTTTCGGTTTTTTACTTTTTTTTATTTAGGGTTTTTATTTTCGTTTCATTTTTGTTTTGGATCTAAACTTCTTATTTCTGACTTTTCCATTCTCGTTTTTTTTTTCAATTCTTCCTCTCCTTCATGTCGTCAAACCTCAAGGTAATTTTGTTGTTAATTTTTTCGATTTTTTTCGTTTTCGTTTCGGTTTTTTTTTTTACTTCAAGTTCTTGATTTTTTCTTTTGATCTCCAGTTCAGGCAGTTCTCCATCTTCAAATCTCCTTCAAGCCGTCAAAGACTACTCAAAGGTAATTACTTTTTCCTTTTCGTTTTTTTAATACAGTTTTTCTGTTTTTGTATTTGATTATTGTTGTTATTTTCTAGTCTATGTTTGAGTTTACTTCTTATAAATCTTCATAGAGATTGCATATTTCCTTTGCTTTATATCTTCTATGAGAACTAGCTAAAGCCATTGTTTGCCTCTCTTATTTGCTTGTCTGTGGTGTCAAATTCATTTGATTGTCTAAGGTCCCAAAGTGATTGAGACCTTTCTTTTTTCTGTTTTCTTGCAGAGAGTCAATAGCAGTTATAAGCTGCAGGTATCTAGAACCAATAATGTACTGCATTTTCATGTATGCAACATGCATCTTGCTTGCAATGAGACATTAAGCCGTTTGTTTTCACACTCCAAGCTAGCTATCTTCTTATAGCAGCTGATCTGTACAATTACTTGGATCAGTGGGGGTCTGTCCTGATGTTGTATAAAAGCACTTGCATGTTTCTTATATGAGTTTCAGAAAGCAAGGGTGGACTTTTGATGGTCTGTATTTTGGCTATCTTGTGATTTCCTTCAGCCATTTAATGATATAACTGTGTTATTTTCTGGTACCGAATATCCCACTTCTAATTTGTATTTTGTTAGTGTTTTAAAAATTGAGTACGCTATTACTCAAGCCTTTAAAGACCCTAAACTTGCACCCATGGCAGCAGTTATGCTTGAGAAGTTTGAGACTTATTGGGAGGATTATAGTTTGATACTTTCAGTTGCTATTGCTCTTGATCCTCGTTATAAGTTGTTTCGAGTGAGACATATGTTGAACTCGTTGTATAATGATGAGGCATGCGACGAAAAGATTATGATGATTAAGGAAGCTTTTTATGACCTTTATAAATTTTATTCTACTGCATCTAATACAAGCTGCAGAAATCCTGCCTCTTCAAACACAGCTCAATCTGAAAATTCTAATCGCACGTTGAGATCTCAAAATATTTTTACGGTATTTATGTTATACAATATACTCAATATTAATGGTAGTCTTCTATTTTTATTTGTAATGTCATAATTTAACTTTTATAATAAAAAATCTGTTTCAGTTGCGTGAGGTTGATGACGAATGTGATGATTCAACTAGATGCCCTCTGGCTGATCTTGAGGCATATTTGAATGGACCTCGTTCGCGATTAATTCAAGGGGAACATTTTGATGTTCTCAAGTATTGGGAATCTCAAGCTTCTTCTCTTCCTATTTTAGCTAATATGGCAAGGGATGTTTTGGCCATTCCTATTACATCGGTGGCCTCTGAATCTTCTTTTAGTTTGGGTGGTCGTATTTTGAACAAATATAGGGGTAAACTTTTGCCAAAGAATGTTGAGGCATTGGTTACCACCCAAAATTGGTGCCGTGGTTATCAAGCGGATGTTGAGGAAGACGTCCTCCTTATTGGTAAAGAGATTGAAGCCGAAAGTGCTTCATTTGCATAACTGGTATTTGTGTCTCATTGTGGTTTATTTTATCTTGAAAAATCGTTGCCCTTGTCTTTTATTTTCAGACTTGCTGGCAGCATTTTTCAAGACTTTTAAAATCGTTGCCCTTGTCATTTATTTTCAGACTTGCTGGCAGCATTTTTCACGACTTTTAAAATCGTTGCCCTTGTCATTTATGTTGAGACTTAAATAGTTAAATGTATTTTGGTACTTGCTGGCAGCATTTCTCAAGTTTTTGTTAAAACAACCATTGCTCAGTGATGTAAATCTGAGAGCAATTTTAAAAAACAAAAGCTATAATTTTGAAGTTGCTTGAACTTGTTATGAGCTGCTGCCTGCTGGTAGTGCTTTTGCCTTTTGGTTGATGTCTCTGCTGAGTTGTTGCTGCTGCTGTTTCTTATGCTTGCTGTTTTAATTTTTCTTGAATCATCGTTACCCTTGTCATTTATGTTGAGACTTCAATGTATATGTACTTGCTGGCAGCATTTTTCAAGTTTTAAGTTAAAACAGCCATTGCTCAGTGATGATACGATAAACGTAAATCTGAGAGCAATTTTGAAAAACAAAAATAAGTTCCTGCTGAGTCCCTTCTGCTTATTGTTCCTTGCTTCTGATAAGTTGTTGATCTGTTATTGCGTAAGCTGGTTCCTGCTTGTTGCTGCTATTTCCTCTGCTCTTGGGTGCTGTGCTGCTGCTTCAAGATTCTGCTGCCTTTTGTTTTTAGGATATAGTAGTATACTAGTATTCTAGTATGTTAGCTTTCCTTTTACCGTCTGTTAGGGGTGTAAAATTTTTGATCATGTAAAGGAAGGGAAAGTTTCCCATTTTCTTCTACCATAAATTTCAAATCTAGACATCTAGTTATTCTCATGCAGTTTTATAAACATTTTAGTCCTCCCCCTTTACAAAATACTTGTATAAGAAATTTTTATAAAGTGATAATGTGAATGATTGTACATTTGTATGCCTTATTGACTAGTACAGTAATATTCTAATGCTTATGCCACTTTTGTAACGCAATCTCATACATCTCCAATCTTATGTTACCTTTGAGTGTTATTGGATGATCATGAATATCTTTATGAAGGAACAATGAAGATAATTTGGGTGGACTAGCATTATTACTGGAATGAAAATGGTACAAATGATATATCTTGTAATTAAAATAAATAAGTAATCTAAAACGATATTAATAATGCCGTTGGACTAGATCTAGGTGATATAAACCTTTGTATAAACCTAAGCCGTTTGATTAGATCTACATTTATTAACATTAATTGTATTTACTATTTAGCCATTTAGGTTGTAAATAATTCAATTTGAATTAAGCAGTTTGTAATCGGATCAGTTTAAACAGGTTGCGATTCGAAAACAGTTCGATTTTAACGGTTTAACGGGTTATGGCAGTTCAGTTTAGACGGTTAGCGGATTATAACGGTTCGGTTTATATTGTTTTTCCAGCGGTTTAAACGGTTTCGGTTCATAAACGGGTCGGTTTAAACGGTTAGCGGGTTACAAATGGTTCGGTTTAAACGGTTTTTTTTACGGTTTAA